CAGCTGGTGGTGGAGGAGAACGTGCGCGCCGTGGTCACCCTCAACGAAGAGTACGAGACCCGCTTCCTCTGCTGCTCCGCCCAGGTGAGCCCGGCGGCCCGGGGAGCTTGCCGGTGCCCCCCCAGGAAGGGTCTCTTGTCGCTCGTCCCTGCGCAGGTGAGGCTTTAGCCGCCTCCTGCCGTGATCCTGGCAGCGACCGCCAAGTCCTCTGACGGCGAAGATGTGACTTCTTCGTACCTAAGCCGACTTCTAAAACTATGCGACAAACCAGTAAAACGTGAGGATGCAAGTAAAATGTGACAGCTACAGCGGTGGAGAGGAGGGGAGGGAAGAGGAGCATTAATTCCATGCGCATCGCTATGCACATATAAGAATGCCTTTTTTTGGGACGAGATCCCAGCTCACCTCCTTTCCTTTAGCTGAACCACATCTTTCCAGTTCCCTTTAACTTCTCCTTTCTGATAGCCAGCACTAAAGTTTTCATACACCTGATCTAAAGGATTGACATTCAAAGTCTGTTTACAACCCCACTGAATTTCCCAACCGTCTCAACAAGTTCTGGGTTTTCTTTCTGGAAAAAAAAAAAACCAAACCAAAAAAGTTAACTGATCGAATCTGCCATCTCAATTTCAGGAATGGAAGGCAATGGGAGTGGAGCAACTGCGTCTCAGCACCGTGGATCTAACTGGAGTCCCCACCTTGGAAAACCTCCACAAGGGTGTTGAATTCATACTGAAACACCGAGCGTGCGGTAACAGTGTTTATGTGCACTGCAAGGCAGGACGCTCCCGCAGTGCCACCATGGTGGCAGCATATTTAGTTCAAGTAAGAAGGCTTCTATACTAAATGGGGTTTATTTTCATACAGTCTGGGCGAGTACAGCCAACCTTTACAATTTGGTTTTGCTTGAGAAACCTGAGCGTGTACAGGTGCATTAATATTCCACGATTTACAGAGTTTGGACTGGACACCCATTTGAAAAGAGGTAGATAGCTAGGCCCCAAACTTATGTTGCTGTTTTGTAGAACGTGGCAAATGCAAGGTGAATGAACAAGCAAAACAATGTTTGCTGAACTGCGGTCTAAGCTTTCTTTGATAATCTAGTTTATCTTTGCACACCTTGTTCATCTGCACTTATGATACTGTCAAGATAATGCTTCCTTGGCAATGAGACAGTGGTGAAGCTGCAATATAGCTGCCATTGTGAGTAGTCTTTTCATTCCTCTGTACAGTCTGCCTCTGGCACCTCAGTTATTAGCACAGGCACTGGCAAAGATGTTCTGATCTTATGGGAAAGAGAAACTGTTATTGGAACAAAGCTTTGAAACACATGGTCTGATAGCATCTGTTGCTGGTTCTGGCAGATCAGTCAGACTTCAGGAAGCTGCTCAGTTTTCTGGGCGATTAACACAGTAAGTTCTCAACAGGTTTTGAATGCTTCTGCCGTTCTTAATTCTTTCTATGGAGGAACAGATTGAGATGGGAATAACAAGTCACTCGTGAGGGTAGGTTCACTGAGCAGATAAGCATCCATTTTTGTTGTTCAGATTTTCTCCTTGGTTAACTGAAATGGTGAGCCTTTCTAAGCTTTTCAGTAAATACAATTCAGAATCAAGAGAAGTGACTTTGGTTTTCTGAGTTCCTCTACAGACCCAACTGGGTAAGCCAGCACTAAGAACAAAATCCCACCTGTGGATTCTTCTGTTGGTGTTATTAAGTGCTCCCTGGAAAATTTTCCCTTAGTGCTGAAGGGAAAATTTTCTAAGTGCTGAAGCGCGATGGGAGTACTAGTAAAGTTTTAAAAAAATAAAAAAAAGCAAGCTGCACTCTTGCTGTGGTCTGGTGGGACTAGGACAGGAAACTGTTCACAACATGATGGAAGCATGAGTGAGACAGAAAATGGAGGTCCCAGGCAGCAACCATCCTCTAACTGAGGGACTCATTTCATGAACTTGCATTGACATTCAGGCCCCTCTGAGAGGAACATGAAGTAAACAGAAGGGGCAAAGCAGCAAGAAGTTTTCTAACAACTAATGTTGCCTGTAGCCTCCAGGAAGGCTCCATAACATTAACATCCATTGCAGGGATGGAATGGATTTTCACTTTCAGGGTTTCTGCCTTTTCAGCTGCATCACTGGAGCCCTCAAGAAGCAATAGAGGCTATTGCCAAGATCCGTCCCCACATCCTCATTCGGCACAAGCAAGTCCAGGTCCTGGAGACATTTCACAGGAATATCATTGCTGGGACAACTGCAGAGCGTCAGTAAGAACTATCAAAATCTCCGTCTCAGCTGCTTTAAAAAAAACCTTGTGTTTTAATGATCTACTGAAGGCTTAAGCGTTGTACTTCTTGACCATGAATAAAGTAGTTTTTACATAAATTACAGCAAAGGGGAGGTTGGGCTGTTTCATTAAAGCTTTCTTTCCTTATGGCTAATCTCTTAGTTCTCTTGGAGCCCCATAGTTCTTCTCTCCCACACACAGTATCAGTGCTGAGCCGAACTGCGATCCACAAGAAGTTCTATAATATTTGCAGCAAAGGAAAAGAAAACTTTGTCTCAGCAGAGACTTTATTCAGATTCTTACCCAAAGGGTTACAGTGCCAACAGAGAGGGGTAGGAGGAAGTGGTCTTAATTCCGTCTTTCACCAACACTATGTTATGATTACAGGTGGGGATTCCCTGTACAGAAAAGGAAGCCAATGCTCATAAAAACGATCTCCCTCTTCACACTAGGCGATGACAGAGCAGTAAGCAAGTTCCCAGTTTGTTACCACTCGTCTAGGAGAAGCGCTGAGTAATGCAACCTACTAAAGGTCTTGGGGTCAGGTCTGGAATCTGTCTGCTGTAAATATTTCTGCCAGTCCCTCCTTCTGCAACAGGGACACAGGAATGTTTAAATGGGGACATCCCTGGAGTACACAGTGCACATCTAACTCTGTGACTGACATGGCAGCAACACACAGTCTCCCAGGCAGTTAAAACTAGCAGTCTGGGCCAAGGAGGATGTTGTCCATATGCTAGAGGATTTGTTACTGGCGGATTGGTTCCAGGCTAAAAAAGCCATTTGTTGTAGTTTGGGCCTCAAACACAAGCAGCTTATCATCAAGGGATCAAAGTAATAGCATTTAGTCCATCTGAAATCTAAGATGCAGCAGTTCAACTTTACTAGTGCTATGTAAAAGAATAAGCCCACAGCCAGAAAGCCTGCACTTCCTTTGCACAGGTATAGAGGATGGGGTCTTTACTGGATCTTGTGAGCTCGTAGTAATTGGAACTGGTGCTGAGGGTGGTGGGTGCCTCTGAGCTGCACAGCAGAACACAGTTGCTGCTCTTTCTATCACTGGGCCTGTTTTTCCCGCTTAGGCCAGGACAAACTGCAGGTTAGTGAGCAGCACTTTGATGCCACTTGTGACTGTTACAACAGAGGTGGCTGGGTTAAGTTTAAAAGTATTTGCATCACCCTTTTTATAGCGGTCACGAAAGACATAGATGCTGCCATTGCAGCTGGCAATTTTCCAGAGGGATGGTACTGAGCTCCAGGCATCTGGCAGGCATAGCCGGGTGAAGCTATCCAGTAGGGGATTATAGCATAGCAGTGAATCCCCCTCGGCTACAATGAACACCACATCCTTGTGTACAGCAGCATGCATGCGCCCTGCAAAAGGCAGTACGTATGGCTTCACGTGGCATTTCTCTGTGTTGGTATCATAGCACTGAATTAGACGAGAGGGCTTGGTGAAGAAGTCCAAGTCATTTTCCTCCCCGCCCAGCAGGTAAATGACACCATTAAGGTTTACACCTGCAGCTCCAGAGACTGCCACTTCCAACTGGCTGGTCTCTGTCCAGACATTGTCTCGTACTCTGTAATATATGACAGCATTAGAGAGCGTGTCCTGTAGAGTTTTACCCCCCAGTGAATATATTGCATCCTTGCTTGGCACGGAGACAAGGGTGTGTTGGAGCCGGTCACGGGGCAGAGGGGCACACCATTCCCAGTCTATAGTTGCATTGTTGCATTTCCACATGCGTCGTGGAATGGAGCCACCAACGACATATAGGTCACTACCGTGCTTGCAGGCTGCAGTGATCTGGTGACACAGGCTGTTCTGGCCACTCACGCTTATGGAGTCATCATCAGCACAATGCAGAGAGACGGCGAGTGAATGTGTACGTGACGACTCCTTTCCAATCAGGTAGATGTGAACATTTTCTCCAATAACCTGAGAAAAAAGAGGACTGTGTCAGCAGAATTAGGCCTGTTTACACAAACATCAGTGATACCTAAGACCGAATTATTCAGCATTTTAGGACCCACCTGTGAGCCTGAGGTGTGTGACCTGCTTCCCAAGTCCTGCCACCCTACAGCGTTCAGGATTTGGAGCCTCAAAGCGTTTTCAAGTTACCAGTCATATCTGACATAGCAGAATAGCAACAGATTTCACTGGAACCCAAGTGTCTGCAGTTTAGGTAAGGGCTGGTTATATCACTGACGGAGTAGAGTTTTTATAAGGGGAATGCCAAACTCAGATTTCTGAATGGTCTCTTTAGTAACTGAGCATCTGGTGAAAAAGTTATTTGTGGCATTGCTCAAATCACTAGTGAAAGCAGCCTCAGGTTAAATTAAAAAAAAAAGCTGTCAGTGAGGTTGCTATTTATGACAATGAAAGTATTCCTCACGCAAGCACCATGAATTTCACTGGCATTTGTGTTTTGCAACTTTCAAGTCACACCTGTGAGCAGAATACCCTGCCTTGGAAGTGCAAAACCAGCAAGTGCTACACCAACCCCAGAACAGAAGGTCTTTTTATACCTTCAGACTCGATCGCAGTGTCTCTGAAAAGCCCGCTCGCTCCTCCTTGTTGAAGTTGATCCAGGTTTCTATGGCAACCGTTGGATTCTGAGAACATGGAACGCCATCTGCGGTTTGGGGACAGAAAGGCATTTAAGATATCTAGACAAAGGTGTGTGTACTCAGGAACATCCTTTTCCTGTGACTCCCTCCCCCCACTCCTACCACAAACCCTACTTTCTAGAGAGGAAAAAAAGGTACAGAGGTTTATAGATTTTGGCAGGTATGATCAGCACTGCCAGCCAGGCATCTACATGAAATCAGTTTGGATGAATATCAGAAGACAGAGCTGCCGGATTGTAAGCACTTTGGATGAGTTTCAGCAAGGGAACCTATGTCCGAGAGAAGAGGGCAGGAAAGAGAACTGACATGCTTTGTGACAATGAAAAACATTATCTTATTTAAGCATTTAGGCAAAAAGATTCTCTTACGTGAGAATCTCAGCAGCTGCCTTTCTTTCTGGCTGGTCCTAGAAACCTATCTAGCAAAAGTCATCTGCAGAAATTTTCCTTCTCTGAGCACTGTCAGACAGCTGACCCTCAAGACTGAACATCTGGTGTTGCTGCTATCCTCTTAACTTTTGGAAATCCCCAATGAGCTACTATAGCTTTCCTTAGCAGTGTGACAGTAGGAAATACTCAACAGACTGCATCAGATTTTGATTTCTTTCCAGACATAATTGGAAGTTTTGGTTATGCCACAAACTATTACATCATCATCATCAGTACATTAGCTAGAAGATTTTAGGTATTCACTTCCAGTTTGAAAGCCAGCAGTTATGCCTGTATTCATTGAGAGGCTTCCCTATGAAGGCGCTCTGATTTTGTAGTCTGCTCTCATGACAAACCCTGAATTCAATGATGCTGAAGGCATCAGACAAATTCCAACATTTTTCTCTATAGTGGAAGGGAGGAGGAAAAGTGTGGAACAAAAGCAAGTATTTCAACTCTGTTTAATAGTAAAAAGGATTTCCATAAGCTATCCATCACATGTAGTGGTTAAATGGAAAAACTTTGATTTTGAAATGGGTGCTAGAGTGCAACAAAAGGTAAGCTTAATAAATTATTATTTCATGGCATTAATTTTAATCCTTGCCACTAATAGCTTCCTCTATTTAATTCTCCATTAACTAAACAAAGATGCAGGAATTGCAAAAGAAAAAGGTTTTCCCTGCCAGCAGTAGGAGTATATTTCAGATTATAATCCATTTTATGAGCTAAGCTTCAGCATAAATATTGAGTAATGTGATTCTATATATGGAAATAGATGAAGCATGGGAAAAAAGTTTTACTGAGCGAGTTAAGGGTGATTGACCTCTATAGCTTTATTTCATAATTTTAGGATTTTTTTATTTGATGAAGTCACAACTTAGTTTAAAAACTTCAGCTAGATAGTTATCAAAATTACTCTAATTTTATGATAGCTTTTTTGAGCTATCAGTACATACTCTCAATAGGTTTTTGACTGTGAATTTCTTCAGATGCAACAGAGATAACACAATGCAATATCTGTAAAGACTCTCATATGCATAGCATCAACTTTAAAGGCTATTTTAAGTCTTACAGACAGATTTGCCAGTATTCCAAAGAAGCCAGTCATGGTAGTTTTATTGTTGTAACAGCACATAAAACACATGACACACAAAGTATAGTTATTTACTCATTTACAAAATTATTTAATTAAAGCAAGAAAGGGGCAATCTCTCTGATCCCAAGTCCAGTACATTTGAATGTATGAGCTGCTTCTACATTGATGCTTCCTCTAGCAACGATACATAAATGCACAAAAATGGGAGTTGTGACTGCAGCATCATGGAGAGGTTTTCAAGTACTGGCTGTACTTACTAGGGCAGTAGAGAATCTTTAAGGATTGGTGGCAGTTGGACTAAGTTGTTGATGTGTTGACACACCTTCACAACCCTGAGTCATTGCATCCATTACTGTGGAAGGCCATTACCTTTACCAGAAGGGTAATTACTGTATTACCTAAGACGTTACAATGCCTCTATTTCAGTCAGCTGAGTGCCTAGCCTAAATAGTTCTAACAATTATATACAATTGTTAATAACACTAACGTAGTCTAAAAATAAGGCTTGTGCTCAAGCCTTCTTACAAACGTTGAGTTGTTGCATTACTATGTTAAATGATTAAGAACTAAAGAAAAAAAAAAGACTTTCATAAGATGTTCATTTCTGGTAAGGCTTCTTTGTTTTACTTTTAATGCAAACAAAAATACAACAAGTTGTTGAAATTTATTAAGTTATGCTTACAAAACCTGTAATGCTTCTGACCTGTTGACTCAGGAACTGCTAGGAATTACCAGCATCCTCTATGTCCCTTTTCTATAGCTTAGACGCTTCATGTCCAGTAACAGTTAATAGTTTATTTTCTGATTAAGTCATCCAGGATGTTTTGCTTTGCTTAGCTTAGCTAAGCCTCTGAATAGACAGTGATTATGAAAGCTTGGATCTTTCCATCTATTTTGTTCAGTCCCTGATAGACTCTCTGCAAGTCTACATCCACATCTGGCTAGTCCTGAGAACTCCTTACCTGTAAGGATGTCTGTCAGTAGGCGGAGAGGCA